ACCGTGCAGCTCACGAGGTGCTGAAGGGCACCGTTCCCAAGGCACCTCTATGTCAAACCTCTCAATTCCCTTCGGACTCTGCCCCGCGAACCGGTCGAGATGCTGTCGTCATCTACCGTGGGCAAGTTTACTTGTCCATCAGAATGCCTAGTCGTAGCCATAGTCAGCGTGGGAAACAGATGACTTCTCAGCCTGTCACTCCTTCAACGTCCCACTTGTCTTCAAAGAAAAGGAAAAAGGTAACACAACTTTCTTTCTGCTAAAACGACCAGTTTACAAAAAGTCTAGCAGAGGTCGTATTTACACAGAGCAGTCTGTTGCTGTTCCAGAAGGGAGAATGATTCAATACAACACAGTTATATATCATTGAAAAGAATCATAATGAATATATTTATGTTACTATTAACCTAAAACACACAAATGCTCTCCATTCTTTTCTCTTTTCACATGGTTTAGCCTGATCACTCGGTGTAAACTCTTGATTATTGGTCTCAGCCTTTATCTGAAACCAACCTGACATCAGGTAACAGAAACACCAGTCCAGCGCATGCAGAAATTATATTGCTGCACGCCGCAGGAATATAACAGCAGAGGGACATGATATATTTAAATCCACAAACTCGGTATTAAACAGAAAATGTAAGAAGTAGAAATGATTAAGTTAGCTTTGGAGAGACAAAGTGTGACATGGACACAGTGGACTGGTATCTCTGTTACGTGCCTTGCTGTGATATCGAGTTGCTGAAAGGGGTTGATTTCAGCCAGGAACCGACATCTGGTGAGAATTTTATGTTCAATACACAGAGACAGACAACAGTTCACACCTGTGGGAATTTACATTTAACCTGACCCCACTAACATGTCTTTGGCTGTGGGAGGAAGCCGGGGTACCCGGGGAGAACATGCAAACTCCACACAGGAAAGACCCGGCCAGGGGGTGAAATCCAACTAGGCACCATCTTGCTGTGAGGCAGCAATGCTAATCTTACTTAGCACTTAGTTCCTCCTACACCAAGTGTCACATCGGGCAGCTAATGATCTCTATTGACGTTGGTCTGCAGCAACTGCTACATCTTCGTCTCAGGCGATGTCGACGGTTTTCAGATCATCCATAAACGTTCGACACCATGTGATTAGCACTGCTTTGACAGTGCTAATCACCACCAATAATAATTGTTATTATTATTAATTTACAGAATATAAAGTTCAAGCTTATCTCTAGTATCAAGATGCAAATAAACATGCATGTATTAGGAGGCCCCTACAAATGTAAAGCTACATGCTGCTGCCTGTAATCAACCTATTTGACAAACAATTGAGCCTTAGGGTTCACCAAAAGTATATTTCATAATATGCTTTTGGTGGGTTTTTTGGAATTCATGAGATTCCACAAAAAACTGAACTAAATGACAGAATAGCATCTCCCAGAAGCCTCTGGATTATGTTTATGTTCATTTGTATTTTAGTCCTAGAATGCTACTTTAAACGCTAATTCTGTGACTTTTTTTGTACATCCTTTAGACGATGCCAAGCGACAACAAGCCCAAGAAAAAGCACAACATATGTAAAGTAATGCATACAGAAAACAAGAAGGATGACGCACACAGGACAAGAGATGTTCACTTTCTGCCAAAACCCACTGAGAGTGAGTGTGAAGTGGGCAGCCAGTGTCCTGCAGATTCTAGAGGAGAGCCGCTCTCAGAGGCCCCCCTGAAGGCAGCTTGCTTTCAGCCTCACAGGGAGCCAGAGGAGGATCTGGCTGCCGAGGAAGCAGACGGCCCCGGTGAGAACAATGACAGAGGTGGTAGTCTACAGATGGACATCAGGGAAGTTGACCAAAGTAGCAGGGGCAGGGTGGAGCCCCTGGGTGCAGCTGCCGCCTCCACATCACTGCAGATGGACTGTGACTTTAACGAGTTGGCACAGGAGGAGAAGATCGCTCAAATGAGAGCCAAACTTAGACAGAGCGAAGCTGCTCTAAACCTGCTTTCTTAAAGTGACCTCACATTTGTTAGCCTTTTTGTACTGAATGTTTAGAATAGACTTTTATACATTTGTCTTCTGTGAACACATGCACATTAATAAAAGTGGTGTCGATGAGCTTATGTGTTTGGTGATCCTTTTTGTTTTATTTAGGCGTCAAAAAACAGATGTTGTACTAGTGTGGTGTTCTCTTCTCATTAGGTGCAGTTTATAGCAAGGTCTTCAATGTTTGGATGTTTTTGATGTGTTAGTTCATTTCCTTTTGATAAAACCTCAAACCATAGCAGCGTATGGTTTGATTATTTCAAGCTGTAGTTTGGTCCCATTTACAAAGTGAACCAAATAGTTCTTTGTTAAAATACTTCTTTTTTCCAGAATATATAATGTGTTTTTCCTGGTTCAGTAACTAAGACTGTTTTTGTCTTTCTTTCTTATTTTTTTTTTTTTTTTTTTTAATCAAGCATACCAAATCACACTTTTGTTTTTGTTTAGTATGATAGTTTCCCTGATCACCTTGAAACACCTCCACAGGTCATGAGTTGGTCTTATGTTTGTTGAAAGTGCTCCAAACCATAAACAATAAATATGACTAATCTTTGTGCATATGTTTCATAATGAGACTTTTAATACTAAGACCTGTAAAAAATCATTATTATTGCTGTTATTATTATTATTATTATTGTTGTTATTATTTGGTGACCTAGTGCTGAAATGGTTGTGGTGTGACTGTTGTCCTTTCTACTCTGCTTTCTCACTCCTTAAATTATTTTTCATATGCAGGTCTTACACTCTGAGCCTGACATTTCTTCTGTCAGTGTGGAACAAGAAAGTCAGGACTTTGAATTGTGACATAGTGACTGTGCTCACACTCACCTCTCTGCTTTGGTCCCTGAATGATTCAAAAATGTTTAGCATGGACTCATCTAGTGTTTAAGGTTTTCATTTCTGTGTTTGAAATTCATTTCTATAGATGTATATCTGATTGGAAAATATGTTTGCATTAAAAGCATTCTGTATGGGGCTTTGACTTTTTGTTTTAAAGAAGCATCTCACCACACCAAAGGGTCACAGTTTATGCTGTAACCAGGGTTGGAATCATAAGAGTTCAGAATATTGAAACTGAAGGAAAGTTTAAAAAAAAAAAGTGAGGTTTGTTGTATTAGTGTGAGTTATTGGATTATCCCAGAAAGTTGATTCTGTTCATCTGGACGTTCTCATTAGGAGAAATGTTTCCTCATCATCAGCTGACTGCAGGTTTCCAACCATATAAACAGGACATCTGCACACTGACTGAAACTAACAACACTGATTAACAGTGGACTGTCAGTTTCATGATCATTAATATGGAAATTGATCAAAGCCAACTGAACAATGTCCATGAGTACCATTCACAGAGAGTTGTGGAATGGCTGCAATCACAGCATTGTAAGATGGTGACAGATGTACCCTTAGACCCCCTCCTCCATTCAGAGATTGTTTTTCCTTTTCGCGCTCAAACCAGCGTTCCTCCCTGTCCAGGATGTGTACATCCTCATTATTGAAAGAGTGTCCACTGGCCTGTAGGTGTAAATAGACTGCAGAGCCCTGGCCTGACGAGGTACAGTCAGGTCCATAAATATTGGGACATCGACACAATTCTAACATTTTTGGCTCTATACACCACCACAATGGATTGCAAATGAAACAAACAAGACGTGCTTTAACTGCAGACTGTCAACTTTTATTTGAGGGTATTTACATCCAAATCAGGTGAACGGTGTAGGAATTACAACAGATTGCAAATGTGCCTCCCACTTTTTAAGTGTATGTAAATACTCTGACTAAAAACTGACGGTTCTATATCACTAATGTCACCAATTTTGCTGGCATGAAGCCAAATGGTTTAATGTTCTTAGTGATGGCTCAGAAATCAACCACAAACAGGGACGCGCGTCGCTATAAGACAAATTATGTGACCCATACAGCTGCCGTGTCATACACACTGACGTGGATGCAGTCGTTGTTTGTACAGCGATCAGGGCTCAAATTGTGTTTGTCGGGAACTCCTTTGCATCGGAGCTGTTTGTGAGGTTATCACCCAGCACACAATGATCTCCACCCTTCACACACACCAGCACTCCCACTGTCACGAGCGCTTATATTTCCCAAACACTTTCACTTTGATTTCACGTGTTTCATTTATACGTCTTTGCAAAACCTATTTTTGAAGTCTGCATTTGACACACTGTATTAATCAGTCATATGAATTTGTTATAATCAAATTAATATACACCTCTCGTTCATTCAGTTAGCACTTATATAAACAGGACCGCTCATCAGTCAGGATAAATGAGCGATGTTCAGGATGCTTGCAATAATTTTACATCCAGCAGATGTCGCTATTAAGCAGCACATCCACACAGTCGACAGAAGGGAAACGTTGGGAAACATCACTATTAGAACCTAAACATTTACTCCTCGCTCCATGATGGGTAATTCATTTTTTTGAAAAAAAAATAAAAATCTCCACCACCACGGCTGCGCTATGAATCCTGGGATAGGGTGGACCACGAAGGATTCATCCAACCTGTCCTTCACACCTGGGAAAAGGAGGCCACATTTGGAGGAACCTTCAAACTGGGACAGCCTTCGTTGCCTCGCTGTGATGTAATCGGCCTTCAAGGATGCGGCCCCTGATCTGGGACACTGTATATGCCAAGAACCGGCACTGGTACAGAGGCTAGGGGGCCTAAACGAGAAAACCAACAGGAATAGGTTATATTTTTATTTATAATATAAATGGAATGCAGTATAATATCACTGCCGAATGAATTCTTTGATCTCAATAAGGGGAATCAAACTTAGAAAATACAAAATATGTATGCACATATTTTACTGTACAAAAATGGCATGAACAGAAAGAGAGTTATGTTTACAGCTCAGTTTCCACTCCTTGGTGTGTTGCAGTTGATTTCACCCTGAGCATGTTTCATCATGTTTGTCATTCTAACAGACGTCCTCTCAGGACAACAGAACCAAGTCATCTGCTACATTTTCAAGCAGAAATGGTTCTGTGAGGATAGGAGGGAGGCAACCGCCCTGACGCAGTCCTCCCCTCCTGCTGCCTTTTATAAGACCGCAGGTCTCCCAAAGCCAGTCTACACAGAAAGGATGTGCTCCTTGTGCTGTCTCCGTGCCAGACCACAGACACTCCAGGTAGGGCTTCGCCTCACTTCTTTTAGGTGGGACAGAAAAGAAACATACTGTATGTAGGTGGTGTTTTAAACATTGTTGCTTGTCATTATTTTCTTTTGTTTTTATTTATTTTTTTATTTTTACAAAGAAAAAAAGTTGATCTTTCTAAACTAAATGTTGAAGTCTGCAGAAGCACTACATTCCAGGCATCCGTTATTAGCTAGTTATTAATTTCCTGAGTCTTAGTTAAAAAAAACTGTGTGCATTACATAATTTAAGTAGTAAAATAAGTGAGAAGTAAAAGTAAATGGGGAGCTATCTTTCCAAGGCCACTGGTCATATTTCCTAACGCTCCCTTAACAATAGAGACAATAGTATAACCTGTCATTTAATTCTGCAGTCTACTCTCAACAATATCAGAAGCTATGTGTTGGTTACTGAAGGTTATCTATCTGTACTGTACAGAATGTCTACGCTGACGTTGTGATTATATCAGATATCATAGTGTTCCCACTTATTTGTTTTGTTGTCTTTGTTTAGTTAAATTAATCCAGTGGCCAGATTCAAACTGACAGTTTGGGTAGTGTGATTGGAAGGATGTTTGTTGTTTCAGTTCAACTATGGCCTAAAACAGCCCAAATGTTTCACTATTAATAAAATATTTAAGGATATCACTTTATTGTACCACAAAAATACCATTAATACATCATTCTGTTGTAAAAGATCATAAATAAATGTACAGCTGTAAGTATTTGGACAATTGTACATTTTTTGTAGTTTTGCCTGTGTACACTGCCACAGTGGATTTAAAATGAAATAATCAAGATGTGGCTGAAGTACTGCTGCTTTAATTCAACAGGTTTAACCCATTAATGCATTTTCATACATACTGCCCATTTCCAGAGAGTCAAAAGTAACAGGGCAAACTAACATCATTTAGACTATAATGATAGTTCTTAATACTTGAATTAAAATCATTTGCAGTCAATGACTGCTTCAGCAGAGGCATTTTTCCTTTGAGACGAACTGCTGGACCTTTACTGCAGCTGCCATCAGTTGCTGCTTGTGTGTGGGTCTGTTTGCCTCTTCATTAACTGAAAAGCCAGCAGCCATCCATGCCAGTGGCACAAAGATGCCTCCACTACGATTGTGTGCTGTCCCTCTTTGTTGCCAATATTTAATTTAGAAAGATGTTTGTGCTATGCAGGCTGTATTTAAATTCATGAAACCATGTCTTGTTTACAGACTTGGGTGATGGTTTGTCTTGAGTTTGAGTTCTTGCCTTGACCAGTGTGAAGTCGTTCTGCAGTCACCTGCTTATGATGTCTTCTGTGGTTTTTTGGGGCATTTTGGTGTTACTAAGCTGCACAGTGCGTTTTTGCTTGATGAGGTTCAAAAGTCACTCATGCAATGTCAACAGATTGTTGAATATCCATCATTATACTTTCAGTCTAACGATGTCTTCCTTTATTTGCATTGAGATTTCTTTGGACCTAATATTGAAACTTGTGCTGGATGGTTATTCAAAGGCAACATTCAGAATCAATTCCAGATCTTTTATCTGCTTAATTTGTCAGAAACTATTGATGGAACAGGCCTCGCCTTCATGTCAGTCAGTTTCATTTACTTTTTTAACATTTGGAGTGTCAAAAACAGAGGAATATGTATAAAAATGGCAGCATTTCCTTAACACCTTTCTCGTATTGTGGTTTTCTTCTTGTCTTCAGGTGCTGTGTGTGCAGATCTGCATGTTTTACTCCAGCATTTGTCTGGTAAGCTGGCCACTGTGCGCAGAGACAGCTAAAGTCCGATGTGGCTCTGACCTGCTCAGTGACCTCATGTTTGTCTGTGGGGACCGTGGAATCTATTTACGTGAGTCTGCCTCAAGTACAAGCTGTGGCTTTATGTACTGTGAGTTTGATGCATCAAGCAGCAGGATGGGCCCACATTATTCAACTTACTTTAGTCATTAGTCAAGCTGAGGAGTAGCAGCTTAACTTTTTTTTTTTAACTAAAAGCTCCAGGTGTAAATCTGTAACGATGCACGGACACAAGTGCGCCAATGTGCTTAGTTTCCTTTTTTGAAGTTTTTTCACCTGTTTGTTCATTCATGTTTTGAAAGCTGCTAAGATGAGATACTAAATTAAACAACAAATTACCAATATTTTGAATGGTGCCACTATAACTACAGATTTATTATATGTATTAAAGGTTTGATAATAGCTAAACACACTGTTATTCTCCCTATAATCAGGATTTAAAACTAAATGCGATTAAACTTTAATTACTTCCACTGCACAGTACTCGTACCAATGCAGTTACCCACTGGACTTTTCACCTGGTTACCTTTGCTCTCTTCTAACCAAGGCAACCCTCTGCATCTGCTATCAGGCTGGTGGCAGTGCATCAAAATAGCAGCATACTCACCAGGACACTGTGCTTCTGTGTGATAGTCTTATTGTTAAAACAGTGTTATCTGAGAGCAATAAAAAGGTACAGAGAGGGAGCAGAAGCAGCTGCAGATATGCTCTTTCAGAAGCACTGTGTTCTTTGGCCTATATCGTGATTGTGCTAAATACTTTTGCATGTTTCATGTTTTGTTTATGCCAAAAACAGCGCGATAAATGTTCACAATGCCAGTACTAAACATGACTACATCTTGAAAGTAATGTTTACCATATTCACCAAGCTAGAGACAGTCAAAGGGCTCTTGAAGAAAAGAAACATTAGAAGTAAACACTGAAAGAGGTTTTAAATCAGCCGTGTGAAGATAAATAGTATCAATTATTATTTTGTCTTTTCAGGATAATGTGCTGCTTATCATTAATCCATTCACATACACGCTAATGCTGACGAACGCTGCAGTGCTCAGGCATGTTATGATTGAACTGTTCCTAATTGTACACTGATAATGTACAAAGGACAAAATATTCTACTTCTACATTTCATATCTATCTATCTATCTATCTATCTATCTATCTATGTATATATATATATATATATATATATATATGCTAAATTTGTGGAAAAAGTATGATTATTATTGTTTATGAAACAACAGTTTTATCTTTAGTTTGTGAATATGTTTTGTTGTAAAACTATCATTTTTATGTACTTATTTTTTGTTTTTGTTTTTAGTGACATAACATTATAAACCATTTAAACAGAGTCAGTGTAATAGGTCGAGTCATTTGGGTCAGTTCTTCGCTTATATTTATTGATTTTGATTTAGAGCTTAAAAAAATGAAAAGCTGTAAATAATAATGGTTTAAAAATATTATCATTCACATTAAACAGTGTCACTGCTACTAAACAGACTGACATGAAATCATCTGTAGATTTCATGTCTGTGCTCCAGAGGATGAATCCTGATGATTTTAAATGCACTTCTTAAATGGCATCTGTAAAACACCAGGAAGGAATTAATCAGAGCATAAGTCATTTAAACTTCTAGGATGTTGATGTGGTCAGTCAGGTAGCAGAGGGTTTTTTATTGGTTTCAGCTGCTTTGGTGTTAATGAAATTAACAAAAGGTGCTCAAAGGTGCAGCAATAAGACAAGTCCCCAAACACAAATGGTTTCCGGTCACTGACATTTTTCCTCCTCATCTATTCTGACTGTTCAAATTCAAATTCAAATTCAAATTCAAATTCAAATTCAAATTCAAATTTTATTTGTCACACACACACAACCATACACAGTATGACATGGGGGTGAAATGCTTGTAGCTGTACAATGCCCGACCATTGAATGACAGAAGAAAAGTTTTACAATATTTACAATTTACTACAAAAATTTACAAATTAACTTAGGAATTTACAGTAAAGAATGTGCAAATAGCAGAAGAGATTATAAAGATAAGGATTATAAATTATAGGAATTATAGGATTATAGGAAATGTGTGGTGGTGCGTGTGGTGATGTGTGTGAGAGTCCAGTCTTATAGTGACGTGTTTGGGAGAGTCCAGTCCTACACCTGGTTCAGGGCCCGAATAGCCTGGGGGAAGAAGCTCCTCCTCATTCTCTCTGTTTTGGCCTTAAGGGAGCGGAAGCGCTTCCCAGACCTCAACAGTGAGAAGAGTCTATTGTTGGGATGGGAGAGGTCCATCATAATCTTCCTAGCTTTGGACTTGCACCGCTTGGTGTAGATGGACAGCAGGTCAGGGAGCTCTGATTGAATGATGCGTTCTGCCGAGCGCACCACCCTTTGCAGATCTCGTCTGTCCTGCTTGGTGCTGTTCCCAAACCAGGTGCAGATGTTTGACGTCAGGATGCTCTCGATGGTGCAGGAGTAGAAGTTCTTGAGCACCTTCAGTGGCAGATGGAAGTCTCTAAGTCTTCTGAGGAAGAAGAGACGCTGACGGGCTTTCTTAACCAGGGTGTTGATGTGACAGGACCATGACAGGTCCTGAGTGATGTGGACACCCAGGTATCGGAAACTGTCCACTCTCTCCACTGGCGTGCCACTGATGATGAGGGGTTTGTAATTCCTCGCCTGCTTTGTAGTGAAGTCCACGATCAGCTCCTTAGTCTTGCTGATGTTTAGGAGGAGGTTATTCTCCTGGCACCAGGTCTCCAGGTTCCTAATCTCCTCCAGGTAGGCCGTCTCGATGTTGTCGGAGATCAGGCCCACAACAGCAGTGTCGTCAGCAAACTTGACAATGGAGGTGGTGTCGGATGTGGCTACACAGTCATAAGTGTACAGTGAGTACAGCAGGGGGCTTAAAACACAGCCCTGAGGCACTCCAGTGCTGAGTGAGATGGAGGGGGAGACTTGTTTTCCTACCCTCACTGATTGGGGTCTGTCTGTGAGGAAGTTGAGGATCCACTGACACAGTGATGAGCTGAGTCCTAGATCCGTCAACTTGGTGAAAAGCTTAGAGGGAATGGTATTGTTATACCTTTGGCTAGGTCAATGTCACCACTGGTAGCGTGAGGTAATACCTGGCACCAACAGATTTAACAATTTACTCTAGCAGAGCTGGACAGGGGTACAGAATGGTCTTTAAACCATTTGCAGGACTGGTATCAGCTCCTTCGTGCAAGCAGGAATAGAAAGAGCACTGTCAGAGCTCTACAAAGAGCAGGCCAACAGGCCACTGGTAAGTGACAAAACGGATTTAATGGGCCTGAGAGCCACCATCCTCTAGTGGGCCCTGTGCTCACAGCTGGGTACCCCTGGGGTTGGCCATAGAATACCAGAATTGTATTTTTCACAGATGAGAGCAGGTTCACCCTGTGCACATGTGACAGATGTGAAAGGGTCTGGAGAAGCTGTGGAGAATGCTGCCTGCATCATCGTTCCACATGACTGGTTTAGTAGTGGGTCAGTGATGGTCTGGGAAAGCATGGGAGGGCCACACAGACCTCTACAGCTTAGGCAACAACACTCTTGACTGTCAGCTCTTATGCTGGTGCAGTGGGACCTAGCTTCCCCGTGTGGTGAGAGTATACATATAGTTGCTAGAGGATGAAGCACCTGACCTAAATCCGATAGTACCAATTTGAGTTGCTACAATGAAATTTCGGCTAAATGAACTAGCCCGCCATATATTTTTCACTTTGGTTTTTGGGATGTCTTTGAATTCAGTGCATCTTTTTGTTCCCAACACATCATGGCCTGTATCTGTATAGCACTTGGCTTAGTCCCCAAGGACCCCAAAGCGCTTTACGCCCCTACGATCGCCCATTAATATCAGTATAGATGATTAACATGACTTTTGTCCTGTTGAGAATGTGTCCTGAGGTGTTTTCAGAGTTGGGTAGTGCATTATGTTAAAATAAAAATAATAAATGGACTCGTTCTTATGTAGAAAAGTGTTTATCCATTTAACACACACACAGACATTTAAACCCAAATGAACACATCAGGAACAAGTCGGGGTTCAGCATCTTGCCCAGGGATACTTTGGCACACAGACTGCAGCAGCCAGGGATCAAACCACCAACCTAACGATTAGCAGATACGCTCTACCTCCTGCGCCGCAGCCACGACAGTTCAACAATGACTAAACTGTCCGAGCACATTTATTTTCTGCAGAGGAGGAAGTTGTTATGGCCACATAAGGGGACACAGTAAATCTTAAGCACCACTGTACTCTGTAAAGGAGATTTTGTTTGACTGTAAAGCTATTGATAGTTAAAGGAAAGAGAAGAACGTAGTGTGTGACACGTCTCTCTTCTGCAGGTAAAGGCTTGTGGTCTGGTTATGGCACTCGGTCCAGAGGGAAGGGGATAGTGGATCTGTGTTGCCTGTCATCAGGTTGTGAACTTCATCACCTTGAGATGTACTGTGCTAAACCAAGGAGCCAACAGACCACATATTCTCCATCCACAACAGTACATGCCACTACACAGCCAAATTTGGTAAGATCTCTGTTGTTTAAATAAGTTTATATACCTTGTATCCATCCATTGTCTTCACCTTATCCACTTCAGAAGAACAGGGAGAAGGTGGGAGCTTATCTCATGGCTAAACATGAGGATACAACCCAAAGGCCAGATACAGAGAGGGAACCTATCATGTGTCCTTCACACGTACAGTCGGTTTAGAACGACCACTTAGCCTAACCGCCATGTGTGTTCAGACTGTGGGAGGAAGCCAGAACATCTGCAGTGCATTTGATCCAGGACCTTCTTGCTGTGAAGTGATAGTGCTGACTCTGCACCACTGTGCTGTTTAAGTTCACACTTGGCCTTGACATTATCAGAGGATTGATTATACTGGATCAAAGAGAAAAAAGCTGGGCCTTACCCTTAACTGTCTCATTGTATAAAATACAGTGAAGCGTGTGTCCTCAGTCATTCCTGACCTTTACCAAATTAGGTCACATTAGATCCCAAAGAACATTTGTAAACCAACTGTGGAGTCTTCTCTCAGTGATCTGTGGTAGTACTGCAAGCATGTGATCCACAACTATTTCCATTTTTGATTAAATATCTAAAGATGGTGAAAAAAATATGTTTATTTCAGAGCTGTGAAAAACACTTCCCTTCTTTTTCATATAAGTGTGTTTTGTATAAGAATGCAGGAATATGTCCATATACCTACTGAATGTTGGACAGACTCAATATTACCATTTAATAAATATATCAACACTAAGCCAGAAAATCAGGATTGGGAGTTGTATTTGTTTTATTGTGTTGTTTTCCTCTAACACACCTGTCACTGTTAAAGACATGCCTAACAAGTAAATCCAGACATGGTTTCAACTGGCCACAGACAAAAAAGTTTCATTTTATTGAATCCAAAACCACAAAAGCCACAAAGAAAAAGTCAGCATACACTTTAGCAGAAAGTTTCACTGTCATGAAAGAGGAAAACAACCAGTTGGCACTACAGCCACTAAAGACTTATAAATGGTAAATGGCCTGTATTTGTATAGCGCTTTATGAGCTTTGGCCTTATGAGATGAATATTTATATTCCTGGATTTGTAATTCTGCAATAGTATTGCCAAGCCGGGGAAATTCTCTGGTACTGTGGTGATCCAGCACAATTTGTGTGAAGCAACAGAATATCAGCAACAGTGACCACATAACACAAACTAACAGCTGTATTGGAGGCCTTAAGTTCCTCATTGTTTAATGAACTCTTTATTCTTATCTGTGTCTTGCAGTTCCAAGAAGTATTTCAGAAAAAACTTTTACAGTACCTGGGACCTCCGAGCAGTCCGAAGAGGGAAGCATACAGAAGGAATTGGCGGCATTCGCTTCGGCACAAAGTCAAAGTTTCACGGTCACTCAGGAGGATGACTAACAAGTCAGCCGACTAACAAGTCAGCCGACACGAAACAACAAGTCAGCCGACTGCAGCCAATAAGAGCGCACTTTAAAGAATTATGGGTTTACAGTCCGGAGTTTGAAGTTAATATTTATACTCACAGAAGTCCTGTGGTATAAAAACAATCAAACAGTGTATGTGTTTGAGTATGTGCAGCGACCCAGACCTCTTATATGTTCATAGATAAAAGGTCACCTCAGAAACTTTAGAAATGTAATCAGACAGCAAACTTCCAGTAACACAGCAATCCATGTATGGTTAAGGACAGTGTTTGGTTAACCCCTAGCCCCTTCATGGAGAATATTTGGTTGTTTGTTACACCGATTTAAAAAAAAGAAAAAAGTTGATTTAGATTAAAACAAAAGTTAGCTCTAACCTCAGACAGGCCACCAGTAATTTGATGAATAAGTAATGTTCAGGAAGAAGTTACTCCTTTATGTACTTATCATTATAGGCCTTCATATATCTTCACGTTAATGTGATCTGTGCAGCTAATGGAAATAACATTTGTGGGGAGAGAAACACAAATTTACAAGAAACAAATAACAGAAACAGAAGTGATCTACTCATAAATGCACAAAAATCTTAGATTTTTTTATATCTATTTTGAGATGTTACCTCATCCTAGAGCACCATAAATGCTTTTTCTTCTTTACATACAGTAGACCTAATTCTCCCACATCTGCTCTAACCCATGAAAACATCTTCAGCTGCCCGATTCTTCACTATTCTTCTGTCTGTGCTCGTCTCTTGGTGTGGTGTCTGTTAAGAAACATGTCAGCCACTATACCGTAGTTAATAGTTCTTCTAAGATTTTTTATGCACTCATCATCAGAATCCGAACACTTTGTTATATACGCCACCTTCTGTGGAGTCATTTGTAGTTCACACTTATTTCGATGGCACTTGACACTCTTGACTAGCTTTAATATTTGTTTGGGTAAAAGACAAATTTTATCCACTGTGTGTGTTTATTGTTTATGAACATATGTTGTGTAAATGTCTTTAAATGCATTCATTATTTATTTCACAATGAGCACGTAACTATAATAAATATTAAGCCTTATTCATCTTTGGTGCTCTGTTATGTTTTACATTGTTTGGCTGTAAAAGTGATTTCAGGTGTGACAACAGAGTATTTTCAAATCTCACGACATTTTACGTTCATATAATTCTAATCAGAACTTGACACAACCTCCAGTTTCAGAGTGATCTTAAGCTGCTGGCTCATTTTACTTTGACATAGCTACAGTTATCACCAAAAGCCTTGAAGGTCATCTCAGGCCTCGGTGGATAAATAAAGAGCTGCAAGTCTTACTGATAGATTTGTGATTAAACAAAGTGTGCTTTCTTTGAGGCCAAGCTGAAGTTATAACCAGGTGTTCTATCTGCACAGGAGTGTCAGGAGCTAGAACTCTTAAGAGCGCCTCCTGCTGTATCCGGAAGAGTGCAGAACCCTCAACTACACATGCCGTAATACTCCCACCACCATTTATGATAGTTGATGTTTGTCCTTCAGATTAGGAGCCATTTCCTTTCCTTGACAATACTCATCTCCCCAGTATTTTGGTATGAGTTATCCTTGGTTTCATCTCTCTCCAGAGGCTCTTTTAGATGTTTTCTTCTACTCTGGCTTTCCTCAAACTGAGTATAATCAGCGGTTTGCACCTTGTTGTCAGCATTCATTAAACCTCTCTTCATTGTAGACAATGATATGCCTGCTACCATCAGAGTGTTGACAGGTTATTTTTTCTCAACCAAGGAACGATTTTTGTAATAGTGCACATTTCAGGGCTTCACTTTTATTCAGTATGATTCCATTCAAATTCTTAATATCTCTAATCCCCACCAACATGGAACTTTAGAGTAAAGACACCACGATACTGGGAGAACCAGGGAGAACCAGGCTTTGAAAAGCCACAAGTGAAAAAAAAAACCCAGTCCCCATCAGCCTAAACCTGTTGTAGCTTGGCCAATAGTAGTGTAGTCAAAGTCACTTGATCCAGCCCCTACTATGAGGTTTGAGTGTTGTCACATTGCCATTCAGTTTGTGGGTTACAAACAGAAAATGATACATGTATTCTTCTCATGCGTTATTGGACTGGATTATTTCAACAAACTGATGACATTTTGCCCATTAATTATTTGTATCCTCCTGTAACTTTACTGTATAAAGGGCTAAGACATCCAAAGTTTCAGGAGTCATTATAAGTCATTATAAGAAGTGTCGTGATTTGGAGAGCCCAGTGCGTGCTCCTGACACAGGGGAACCACATGCTGTCGAGGATACCTACCTTGGCACGACACGGGAAACAAGTCAAACAAACGTCACAATAAAAGCATGCTATAAAACTGTAAGAATAAAACACTTAACATTATTTAAAGATATTTTATCATCACATGTGTGTAATATGCTTAAATTTAAATACTCCCCATTTACATGATACAAACTTTAATTATGGAGTTCCACAGGGTTCAGTGCTAGGACCAATTCTGTTTACATTATACATGCTTCCCTTGGGCAGCATCATTAGAAGACATAGCATACATTTTTACTGCTGTGCAGATGACACCCAGCTCTATCCATGAAGCCAGATAACACACACCAATTAGTTAAACTGCAGGAATGTCTTAAAGACATAAAGACCTGGATGGCCGCTAACTTTCTGCTTGTAAATTCAGTTCAAACTGAGGCTATTGTAGTTAGCCGTACAAACTTTAGAAACATGGTGTCTAAACAGATTCTTACTCTGATGGCATTACCCTGGCCTCCAGTAACACTGGGAATGCAGAAACCAAATCGAGGAAGTCTGTCCATCCCTCTTTATACACTTACACCCTCTTATTGTGTCCCCCTTATAAGACACAACAAAAGAAATCCCTCCCCCATATAAGGAGTTGTTTAAACAGATGAACTAGTGGTGGTGAACGTGCATATGGTAAATGGACTGGTTCTTATATAGCGCTTTTCTACTCTCAAAGCACTTTACAGAACTTGTGCATTCACCCATTCGCACAAGCACATTTTCTTAGTGCTTTCTAACTAACATTCAAACTCCGCATCGCAGCGCAATTTGGGGTTTTTGGCATGCAGACTAGGGGAAGCCAGCCACCCCAATATGCATATGACAGGTGTGTGTGTGCTGTGTTTAGCTGGTTAATCATATGTGGTATGGCACAACGGACTTACAGAATTCAACTACTGCATAACTGTTCTAGCACGTTTTCATCAATCTCTAAAATTAGAAACATCTAGTCTGTGATGTGAGTGATGTTAAAAAACTAGTTCATGCATTTATTGCTTCTAGGCTGGACTACTGTAATTTATTATTATTAGAATGTCCTAAAAACTCACTGCAAAGCATTCAGTTAATCCAAAATGCTGCAGCAAGAGTCCTGACAGGGACTAGAAAGAGATATTTCTCTGATATTGGCTTCTGTTCATTGGCTTCCTGTTAAATTTAAAATCCTTTCTTCCATTGTAAAGTCTTGAATAATCAGGCTCCATCTTATCTTAAAGACCTTATAGCAGCAACTGCAGGCTTACTTGTTGTTCATATGAAATTTAAATAGATTGGTTGGGAGAGCCTTTGGCTTTCAGGTCCCTCCTCTATGGAACCAGCTCCCAGTTTAAGAGACAGACATCCTCTCTACTTTCAAAATTAGGCTTCAAACTTTCCTTTTTCATAAAGTGTATAGTTAGGGCTGGATCAGGTGACCTGAATTAATTATTATTAATCTCTGGGTCTCTTCTACAGTTTGTCTTTTATTCCATCTTCCTCCCATCATCCCCAACAAGTCCCGACAGAAGGCTGCACTTCTAGAACCTCCCTTCTGGATTCCCGCCCTTTGTTAATACTACCCGAGCGTTGAATTAACCATGTTAGTGAAACCAGCTTGTCACGTAGAAATTCTGATCCTGTTAGTGTTGGCCAAATGAAACTTTCTTTAGCACTGAAAGGTTTATTACTTGAAGTTTCTTAACGCAGTCCTCTTTGGTGCCATCTGGTTACCAAAAATATGAAGTGCAGAGTTTGACTCTGCAACTTGAAACGAACTGCTTGGTTATGATTATTCACTCTGCAGAGCTGAACTGACAGCTTCTGTTTAATGTCATGTGGCAGTTTTGTGTGATATCGGGCTACAGTTGTGGTGCTTTGAACATGGGTTTTTTTTGTGTAAAATGTTATATCTATTTGCTTGATACGTCATTTACGTGAATAAACTTTCCTTGTTTAAACATGGTGTGGTCTCTCTTTATTTGTGATAGTCATAGATTAAAAACAAACATTGTAAATAATAATGTACAACACACTCTTATCCTATAATCTGGGACTCTCCACCATTAACTCTGAAGACGCTTCTCAGATGAAACGTCTTCAAGAAACTTAAACAGGTCAGCCCTGAGAACCTACACGGACAACAAACTCTTACAATAGGTTGGGCGTATGCTTGCTTTTGTAATTAACCAGTGGACATACACCAATATATAATATATTATTTAGTGTATTTCTTGTGTATGTTTTTGACCTGGGGCTGGAGCTGTTGGTTCACTGCTGGCTCCATGTCTTTTTATGTCACACACTGGTTCACTCTCTCTCACACATAAAAAATAAACTACAAATCCTGCAAACAATTCAGTCCCTTAGAAACCATTGAATCAGGTATTGAAACAGTGATGAACCGAATGAAGCTTCAGACGTCACTGATCACTTGACTCTAGCCAGACAAACAAAGCCTCAACACAGTGCCTCCAAAGCACCACGCTAAAGCTTCAGCTTCAAACGGCCCATCATCCTGTTTTTCTCAGTCCCTGCAACCTACTTGTTTTCTCCTCTGCCTAGAAGTCCTGGTGTTTTTCCTAAAAGAGCATTATCCCAGAGAGAATCTGTGGAGGAAATATCTGGTCCTGCACCAACTGGACCATCACTAAGCTGCCTTAGTTTATGATGAATAAACCCATGTTTGAGTCAGCCTGCACATTGTTGCCAGGGGTTGTTTGATTGTTGGGGCTTTCTCTCTATTATTGTAGGGTCTTTACAATATAAAGGGCCTTGAGGCCACCGCTGTTGTGATTTGGCACTATGTGAATAAAACTGACTTCAGTATTTATTTCATTTATGTATTATAACACATTTGGGTTAAGCACACAGCTATTCCTTTATGTTGGTAAATGGACTGGTTCATTTTCCTGCTCTATCCGAGCACTCAAAGTGCTTTAAATGACTCGTATAATTCACTCCAACACTTACTTCTTCACAAATGCTACCAATTACACATGATGAGAGAGCAACTCCAGGGTTAGTATCCTACCCAAAGATATTTGGCAAGCCTGGAGCAGCCAGGAATCGAACCACCAACCTTCTGCCCTACTCCTGAGCTACAGCCACTCCATGTTGGACAGCTTTTGTCTTGGACTAAGCTCACCATAGACAAGTTTAATCTTGGAGGAAATTTGCTGATTGGACTATTTATTCAGCAAATTCGGCATAAATGTAGCTGTTGAATCGCTCATGCATTTATTTGCTGATGTGTGCTCTCAACTGTAACCCTGTATTTGATACAACTGATTCAGTTTGGCACTGCCTTCTTAGAAACGTGCGTGTGTGAGAAAAGGCTACAGTAGCAAATATTTTGCTGGAAACTTGAATAGATAATTAAACCAAATTTTTGTGGTCTTCTATTATAGAATAAATAAATAGTTAAAATTTGATTTGAATAGGTGGGTTTAAACCTCTGAGTGGATTCACTGTAGTAGAAGTAACACTCAAGACGATGTTAAAGTTTGTTCAAATGAGTCACAATGGAGCTGGGACAGGCTCCAGCCCCCCGTGTCTCCCCAGAAGGGTAAGTGGAAGAGAGTGGATGGATTTAGTTACCATGGTCAGTGCTTCAGTGAACTTGCTGACCTGCAGATGGTGCAGAACAAACATCTTCAAACATTTTGATCATTTACAGGTTTGACAGTTTTTTGTGTGCTTGGCTCATGGAAACTGTTCCAAACACAGTCTGATACAAACAGTAGTAGAAGTAAAGTAAAATAGTATTATTTATTAAACAATTCAACAACTATATCAATATTTGTAGTATCTAATAATAAATAAACCTCGGTTATGCAACATTTAGCTTGAAAATGTATCATGGTATGTGCTGGAGTGGCTATAGTTTCTAATTCTGTCAGTGCTCACAATCTATTAAATATTGTTAAATTCAGAGAACTGTATTGTTACTACAGCAGGTGCTAGCAAGTACGCTTCTTTTTTCAGATAGGAGTGTGTTTGTGACCTTTTGACATCATAACACAGTAACAGTTGTTCACAGTCGGCCTGATAAGACATGGAGGGAGCGCATTCTCCTTGTAACCTGCGTCACTGACAGATAACGATATTCGGTCCCATCTCTTCCCAGGCCGCCTGTTTGATTTGATTCTCATGGTCATGAGGGAGCTGTTTTTGTGAGTGGAAGACGATTTATTTGTGACATTTTACACAGTGGACATGTGTGTGACCAACAGACATCTCACACATCTGCAGCAGTAAGAAGTGGTCACAGAAACATTGCTATACTTCAGTGGTTCTTAACCTTGTTGGAGGTACCGAACCCCACCAGTTTCATATGCGCAGTCACTGAACCCCTCTTTAGTGAAAAATAAAATATGTTTTTCAAATTCAAGACATAGATATGTTTTTTACTGGTGCACAAAATGAGCCGTGCCAAGATCGACTCACCAAACCCCTAGGGTTCAATCGAACCCAGGTTAAGAACCACTGCTATACTTGAAGAGCACAATAAAAGTTTTTTTCAGTGTTTCACTGAGCAAAATATTTTTAAAGGGTTTCAGATTTCTCTCTCTCTCTCTCTCTCTCTCTCTGGCTACATTTATTTATTCAAAATATTTATTGTTGTATTATGTTTTTGTCTAAACTTCTTAAAATCATACCATAATAACGAATCACTGAACTGAACTCAAATTAAATCTTTATAAACAGATATGGGCGTTAGTTTAGCTCGCTGCGATGAGCCATGTGGCTGAGAGCGACTGACCCGCGGCCTTCCTGTCTCTCCCTCTGCTCTCCTGTCAGCTCTTTGTTATCAATAAAGGCCAAAAAAACTGAAATGAGAAAAATGAACGTGGAAATTTCAAACCCAAGTCTGCTGTGTGAAATGTAGATAAACACAACTATTTTACAGCATCATACACATTTTTGTAAATATCTTATCATATCCGTTCATGTGACA